TCTTGTCTTTTTCTAAACCAATTTTTCTTCTCTCTTTAATAAAAATTGACATGTTTATATCTGTTGACAAATGACTTAGATATGCATCTACAAAAATGGAGACAATTCCCTACCCCTACCTATCCGGTTTAAAATCTCCGAGATGGAGACAGGGACCAGTTAATCTGCTAATCAGAAAACAATCTTTTGGGAGTAATTGGCTGAAACTGATTTTTTTTTTTTTTTTACCAACATTGTTAAATTCTACTCATATTTCTGTTCAGGCTCTCAGAGACTTCTTGGTGTAGAAGCATCTGTATTTCATCTTTTAACTTGTCAAAAGTTGTACGTTGAGGAATGGTTTGGGTTACAGGTTATGAGGGCAGTGAAAATAGTTCCTTAAAATTGGCAATTAAATTTGTGCTGAAAGAGTTAATCATAGTAATCCCATAAACTTTAAAATGAACTTAAATCTTTACTGACAGAAAAGGCTGCATGATGTGTAGTAATTACTTCAGTGTAGATATAATAGAACTGTAAATAAGGAATGACTGATTTAAGATGCAGAGATTAGATAAGATTAAAGATTATTTATAATTGCATTGAATAATTTTGGTTGGTTTCTCTCTTGACTTTTGACTCATTTTTCAAGGAGTTTCTCTTTCAAATAATTGTGTAGCATATTTTTATAGAACTTCAATATTTCAATATTCCTAACATTTTTTCCATGGCAAATTCATTTCTTGCCTTTCTCTCTCTGGGTGTTTACTTCTCTTCCTCAATACTTTATTTTCCTGCCTTTAAATTTACAAGATTTTTCTAGTTATTATTTAATCTTTCTAACATCTCTTATTTTATCTAACAAACCTTTCTTCCTGACTTACACTTTATTAACTTCTCTTTCTGCATCTTTTCTATAACATTTCCAGTATATTTATAATTTCTCTACTTTTCTTTCTTAATATGTTTATTTACTCTTCTTTCTCTCTTATTTGGTTTCTTCTTCTCTATCTCTCCAATTTCCGTCTCCATCAACCTCCATTCCTTTCATTCTTTCTTTCTTTCTTTCTCTCCCTGTAAACCTTCATTCCTTCCTTTCTTTCTTTTTTCTCTCCCTGTAAGCTTTCATTCCCTCCTTTCCTTCTTTCTCCCTGTAAACTTTCATTCCCACTTTTCTTTCTTTCTTTTTTCTCTCCCTGTAAATCATCATTTCTTCCTTTCTTTCTTTTTTCTCTCCCTGTAAATCATCATTCCTTCCTTTCTTCCTTTTCTCTCCCTGTAAACCTTCATTCCATCCTTTCTTTCTTTTTCTCTCCCTGTAAACTTTCATTCCATCCTTTCTTTCTTTCTTTCTTTCTCCCAGTAAACTTTCATTCCCACTTTTCTTTCTTTCTTTTTTCTCTCCCTGTAAATCTTCATTCCTTCCTTTCTTTTCTTTCTCCCTGTAAATCTTCATTCCTTCCTTTCTTTCATTCTTTTTTCTCTCCCTGTAAACCTTCATTCCTTCTTTTCTTTCTTTTTTCTTTCCTTGTAAACCTTCATTCTTTCTTCCTTCCTTTCCATCATTATTTACTTCCCTTTCGTTTCCTCTTCTTATCTGTCTTTAGTTTTCTTATCTCTTCTATTTTTCTCTCTCTCTCTGTCAACCTACATTCCTTTCTTTTTATCATTAGTTACTTCTCTTTTTCTCTTATTGGATTTTCTCTTCCTCTCTCTCTTTATTTTTCTTATCTCTCACTGTCAACCTCTCTCCCATTCTTTCTATCATTATTTACTTCTCTTGCTTTCTTATTTGATTTCCTCTTCCTCTCTCACTGTTTTTTTTTTTCATTTTTTAACATTCTCAGTATGTTTCTTATCTCTCTCTTGGTTCCTTTCTTTTTTTTTACTTTTCTTTCTCTCTCCCCATCTTTCTTTCCATCATCATTTACTTCCCTTTCTTTCTTATTTGATTTCCTCCTCTTCTGTGTGTCAATATTTTTCTTATCACTTCTATTTCTCTCCCTGTCAATCTCCCTTCTTTTCTTTCATTCTGTCATTATTTACTCTTTCTCTCATTTGATTCTTCTGTCACTGTTTTTTTCTCTGACATTTCCTTTCTTTACTTCTCTTTCTCTCTACCTATCCTCCTTCTCTATGACATTAACATCATTTTTAAAATCTTACTTTCATCCCTTCTCTACAATGTTAGATATTTTGTGCATATCAACATTTCCATTATAAAACTGTTATATTTTAGGATGATTAGGTAGCATCATTGTTAGCAGAACTGCAAATCCCCTTTCATATCCTAGTCTCATCAATTGTCCTTTGTATTATCTTGGGAAAGGCACCAAACCATCTCTTCTCCCTCCCAGCTCTGGGTTAAATAGCAGGGTGGATTGGACCCATTATCCTTGGTTGTCAGCCAGTCTACTAGAAAGACTACTCAATTTAAAACCATGAAAAAGGCAACAAGGAAACCTCTTCCTAATAAATCTTAGCAATTTGTGAAGAGCCATAACTGCTTAAAATCTGAAGAGATATAGCATTAAACAACATGAAGGGTAAAACTTTCAGTAGAATTTAATTTGCATTATGTGAAAATCTGTATAGCTAAAACCTGTGCCGCCTTAAATAAAACGGATCTAATCTGGAAATCTAATCTACCAGACTACTACAGAGATTCTTTTGTAGAGGTGGTGCTAATGTAGGGTGCAAGTGCTTGGACATTAACTAAAACCCTAGAGTCTAAGCTTGATGGAACTTACATTTAGATAATGAGATCTATACTTAACATCTCTTGGAGACAACGTCCAACTAAATGACAGTTCTATGGACCCATTTTTACAATCTTACACAAAATGCACATTACAGGACACTGCTGGCAAGCAAAACAAGAACTTGCAAGTGATCTACTGTTCTGGTCACCTAGCTATAGATCAAGACATTTTAGTTGCCCAACAAACACCTACATTCACCAGCTACATCATGGCACAGACTGCCACCCTAATGACATTCTGACCTTGATGCAGGAGGATGATGGTTGGTGTGATAGACTCATTAATGTCCAAGGTAGCTTGACCAAATAAAAAAATAATATAATTTAGTTTATTTTGTTCAAAATATTGGTATTAACTTTTTTTTGGAGGATGTTAAGTGTTATTATGCTTGCTAAAAAGAGTGTCATCTTCTTTTTAATTAATAAATAAATTCAAAAGATTGTACGGACGCAATAGGCGATTATCTCCCTTTGACTGAGATGAAGTCCCGAGGGATACATGACGACTGGTGAGTGATGTCAGTTGCTTTTTATCCCACCTGGAGACATGATGTGTCTGCCCACACCAGTTGCTATGTAGTCTGAAGAGAAGACAGACATCACAAGCCCACATTGGTAGGGTAAATAGAGGAACCTAAATGGTCTCACCATAAACATAGAAGACACCAGAGACCTGCTGTTTTTTCAACTTGGAAATATTAGAAGTAAGACCCTCTGTCTTTTACCCACCTTTCACACTGTTTCTTGTATACATATGTTATAGTTTCTCTGTGTGGGACAAATTTGTGATTAGTATATATATTGGTATAAAACATCTCTTTGAGACCCATACATGTTTGTTATTCCTTTCTTTCAGATATTCTATCCTATCCATGTATTAATGTGTTAGTATATCATGGATATAAAGGAGAAATGCAAACTGGGAATATTTCTTTCTTGCATAGTACCTCTATTAATATATAAGCAATATAAACATTTATTTGAATAACACAATATCCTATATGCTTGATTCTTCTGTAATCTGTGGGAAACTGATATAAAACAAATAAATAAAATAATAATAAAGAAAAAAAAAAAAAGAAATTCATTTTCCCATGATGCCAGTTATAAAGAAACGAGAAAGAGCTTCTGGCCACATACACAATTTTATTTCCTGACTCCTAGAAAGGACAATCTTTCTCTTTTCCACAACTTTGTTTGGATGTGTTTTGGTAGTCGTAATCATTAAGTGAATTGGTCATTCCAACTCAGCACAAAGTTGAATTGATCTTGACCATTTTAACCATTGTTGTCCTAACTTATTTCTAAACCAAAAAAGAGAACAAACATGCCTAAGAGACATTGAGAATATTGTTTTATGACAGTCACCATAAAAGGAAGCTTTGATAAAAAAAAATTGAACATATCAGATTGATAAATGTTTCCTATTTGTTCTTTATCTTATCATTCTGATAAGATTTGATCTATAATTGATCTTATTATTTATAATACAATGTCATTATGTACAATATAATTGTACAACATTTGTACTGCTTAATAAAACCTAATGCTGCTGCATAATAAAACCTCAGGCTACTGCATAATAAAACATCAGGCTACTAAATAAGTTATTATAAATATTTCTAATAAAATCAGAAAAGATGAAATGCACAAGGTATTGTTTCTACCCTCATTTTAAGCAGTCATTTTTTTTTACTTCCTATATACCAAAGTTAAGCAGTGCTAAGCATGGTCAGTACTGTAAACGACATCTTACAATCCAAAATACGTTTTGGCTTTAAATAACTCACAAAGAAACAAATCAATCAATCAGTCAATTTATTCCTCTGTTTTCTGTTCCCCCCCCTCTCTCTCTCTCCTCACTGATTGCAAGTCTCTAATTAAAAAAATAAATTATCCACCTGCCAAATTTAGCTTTTTTTTTTTCACCCTCATATTCCATTTGTCACCAAAAAAGATTGACACTGGATGAAAGATAAATTCTGATAGATTAAAATTTGTATGTTGCATGGAGGAAGAAAAGACATTTTACATGAAGTGCAATAGTATCAGAGAAAGAAAAAGCAAAGGATATAAGAAAAGAAAAATTCAAAGAGAAGAAGAAATATTTACAAAAGAAACAGATTAGGAAGTAGAAGAAGAAAAAGATCAGGTATTGAAGCGAATGAAACATAAAACCAGAAAAAAAAGATAATAAATAAAAGATAATAAATAAAAGTAAAAAAAAATTGGGATGAAAGCAAATTGGAGACATAAAGTACTAAAGAATACTGAGAGAAAATGAAGAGAAAGAAAAAATGATTATTGAATGAAATATAAAATGAAGAAAGAAGAGAAAAAAAAGCAAATTCAAAAGAAAGCAAAGAATAAGGAAGACAAGAAGAAAGAAGTAGCAGACAAATAATGCTAAGAAAAGAGAATACATACAGGTAGAGAGATAGATATGAACAGACAAAAATAGATTAGTACAAACAGACTGAGATAGATATAAATAGACTAGATGGTTAGATAGATAGATATATAGACTGATATAAAATGATAGTCAGTTTGTGTCAGTTTGTGTCTATCTAAGACAGATGCAAACTGATTGAAATAGATAGATACATTTTGTCTCCATCTATCTATTTCAATCAGTGATAGATACAAACTTAGATAGATATAAATATAATTTAAAAATTTAGAATATTATTATAGATTACTTGTAATTGTATGCACGAGTCCTTGTATAAATAGCTTTAAATAATTATGAACTGATTTTATCATCGTGATATTTTTGCCTTACATTAAGTATTAATATAGTAACCTGGCTCCACAAATTGAAGGAGAGAGTTATCAATGATAATGTTGTGACTTTGAATCTGCGGTTATCTCCCTTTAACATGCTCTTTTTTTTTTTTTAATTATTTTATCACATAAAATTTAGTGAAGCGCAAGCAAATTTTCATTCCAAATATGCAGCCCAGAGAAAAAAGTTTGGAAACCACTTTTGGCTGTTGATCAGAGAAAGGGGCAGAAAAAGAATGTAAAAATGAATGAAGTATAAAAAGAGGAGAGAAATTAAGAAAAATTTGAAAGGAAGTAAAAATAGGAAAAAGCAAACATTAGTGAAGTAATCAAGATTATAGATAAAAGAAATTATAAGACTTTGGATTCAAATGGAAAGCATTTAACACAATATCTGGTAAATTAATTTTTGAAAAGAAATTATTTATCTAAAAAAACGAAAGAACAAAATACTATATTCTACTATTCTGGAAGGAAAAAGATCCATTTTCTAAGCCCACTTTTCTCTAGTAGGGAATGCTTTAAGCAATTTTGCATTTAGTATACAATTATTTCCCCATTTTGTTTCTTTAGATGAAAAACAAAAATTGATCCTTTTCTTTCCATTTATTTTTTTAAAAAGAAACTAGAAAAGAAAAATAGCAAAGGAAAAAAAAGAAGAAAAATCCAGCAAATGAAAGAAAAACAATAAAAAAAAGAAAGGTAAACAGAATGAGTAAGAGAAGAAAAGATAAATGTATAATATGGAGTAATGAAAAGGATGAAATATAAAAATGAATGAAAACACAAAAAGAAGAAGACAAAGAAAAAACATAAGGATGGAAGATGCAGAAGAAAGAGTAGAAAAGAATGGGAAAAAACTGAGCAACAAATAAAAAGATAAAAGTGGAAATGAAGTCAGTGACACTAATAAAAAAAAAAGAAGAGGAAGAAAGAAATGGTGAGAAAAGAAAAAGAAGAAGAAATAAAGAAAAAAGAATGAAGGATAAAAAGTAAAAAGGGCAAATGAAAGGGAGAGAAATTAAGAAAATAATCACAGAGGTAAGAAGAAAGAAGTCATAACCAAATAATAGTAAAGAAAGAGAAAGAAAAAAAGAGAGAAAAAATAAAAAAGAAATAATAAAAAGGGGTAAAAAAAAAAAAGATAAAAAGAAATTAAGAAAAATTAGAAAAGAAAACAAAATGGAAAACAAAACCATTGGTGAAGCAATCAAGATGAAAGATAAAATAAATTATATGACTTTGGATTCAAGCAGAAAACATTTAACATAATATTTAGTAAATTAATTTTTGCTAAATTATTTATCTTAACAAAATGTAGGGAACAAAATATATTCTACTCTTCTGAGAGAAACATGATCGATTTTTTTATTTGGTATTAAATTCTTAAGAAATGAACTTGTGAAGGTTTGGTGCAAAATGGTTTCCAGATTCAAAATGAATGACCACAGAGTAAAGGTTGTTTTGGAAGATTTATTTTCTTTTTTTATGAACACAAATTGTAACCTTGTGAAACAGCATTCATAACTTGCAGCACATTGGAACAAAGAGGGGGGTGAGAGCAAAACTCCTTCCTTGTAGTTGGCATTCATTCTGATTAGTTCTTTGAGGGTTAATGAAGTCAACCAGCTTGTCCCCTCTTTCTGAATAAAGTGGGGAGAGAATAGCTCTCAAAGCTCTATTTTTCCTGAATTTATATTGATTTTTTTAGTTAGTAAGCAGTGAGTGTAAGTAGGATTGTCCTTTGCTTTGGTACTGGGTCTTTGTCATTTTTTTCCCACTTATCCAAGCATCTGGTTTCAGAAAAGAAGTTAGTTAATTGAGCTATCCTTAGGAATGATGCTGTTAATGTTAATGAGGTGTTAAGGATATTATAAGTAGGTGATGCTTCTCAGGGAATTTAATTTTTATTTTGTTTATTAAACTTTGTCTACTCATACAACCTCATTATATTTTTACTGAAGATGTAAAAGAAGTATCAAAAAAAGAAGTATCAAAAAAAGAAGTATCAAAAAAAGAAGTATCAAAAAAAGAAGTATCAAAAAAAGAAAACTGAAAAAACACATGTATGTACAGATAAAAAAATGATATTAACTCCTATTGAACTGAAGAGAATTGTTCTAATAAGCTCTCCTCATTACTATCTCGACCACATGAATTTAAGTGTACAATTAGATTGGCAACTAGGTCTAATCATTTTACTGTTGAAACAGCCTACATGTCACTGTCAGTTCTTTTCTAATAGTTTCTTTTCTCGCACTCCTCACCTGTGGAACTCTTTTGATTTCTTGCTTCCTTGCCATTTGCAATTATCAAAAATTTAAATGCAACATCATTCACCATCTTCTGTCTCCCTTAGTACCTGTTCTCTTATTGACCATTCTCCTCACTTAAGTCTTCTTAATCTCTGCTGTCTTACTAACATTGTCGTCTTGCTTGCTTTGAAATTATATATACAGGGTGTCTCAAAATAATGTATACGCTCTTTAAATATTAATAGTTAATAATGCATTAGCATGATGTGAGAAATTATATGGATGAAAATATGCAAAACAGATGGATTGGAAGAAGAGGGACAGTTGAATACCCACCTAAATCACCAGATTTGACACTCTTGGATTTCTTTTTGTGGGGGTTTCTAAAAGACAAAGTTTACAGCAGGAAACCTGAAACAATTGCTGAAATGAGAGTAGCAATTGAAGAAGAATGTGCTCAAATACCAGAAGAAATGATACTGAACGTTTGTAGGTCTATTTCTTCAAGATATGAAAAGTGTATTGAACAGAACGGCAACCAGTTTGAGCACTTGATGCGAATTCATCATTATATGAACATTCTGCCATTGATCCAAATAGCTTTTATCTTATTAAAGTTAATTTTCTATGTTTTTTCTTTTTTTCTCAAATTCTTTAAATGTGTATTCTTTCTCTTGTATTAATCTTACAGTCAAAATACATAAATTGAATAAATTATAACGATTCTAAGAGTGTATACATTATTTTGAGACACCCTGTATATATATGATTTAAGAATTTAACAGTTCAAAAGTAAAGCAGATATTTTCATATAGTGATCAATATTAAAAATATTAAATTAATATTAAAAAATAGAGCATTGATAAGATTATATTGAAAATTACTTAACATCAATTTTTGATGTTTCTCTGACTTCAAAGCTTCTTGGAATTGTTTATTCTTCAAGGGGTCTGTTGTTTGAATAAGTTTATTTCCAATTTTTTTGCATCTTTTTTTTTTAATTCATTGTGTACATGTACACATTCATGAGTTTTATGTTTTTTTTTTTACATGCACACGTTCATTAATTTTTGTTTTTATGTGTTCATTCATACGAGTCGTAATTTTTCCAATTGTAAATTTTTCTTCCAAATTATCTTTTTTCAATTATAATTTTTTTTATATGCATGTTTTGTATTGAATTTGTTATATTATTGTTATAGTGGAACACACCTATTCTATAGTTAATAGACTCTCCCACCTATAATAAGTAGTAGTAGTAAGAGTAACGAGTCACTTGCTCAGTGGGTCGGTCAGTCAGTCGATGTCGGACGACCGTTAGTCGGATACTAAAGTATCAGCGACCACAACTAGATTTTCTCTGCATCATACCTATTATATGAAGTTCCTAAAGTTTTGTACGTTGAACCTTTTTTAGGACCAACTTAGTATAAATACAAGCCTCCACTGTGAAATCACTTACATTATTAATTAAATTTTAATATTTTATGTTGTATTTCTTGTATTATGTTATATTATTATTAATGTTATTATTATATTACTATTATGTATCACTTTAAAGGTTATTATCAGTAGATACTTGTATTTGAGTAGGTTCTTCATTTATATATTAAACAGTATTATTATTTATTATCACCTACTGGACTGAAATTTCAAGAAATCTTATGAGAGAAAAATATGTGCTCTTTAATAAAATTTCTTGAAATTTCAGTCTGGTATGCAAATATAAATAAATAAAATAATATATATATATTTAAATATAAATATATTATTTAAATATATATTTAAATATAAATAAATAAATATACTGTTTAATATATAAATACAAACATCAGCTAATAACAACGTTTAACGTGATACAAATCTGCCGGATTAATAAATCCATTCTAATAAACTATATATATAAGGATGGACAACTTAATTTCTGGAATGACTACAATGTGTTTCTGGGGTAATTACTTTGGCAAATATTTGTGCCAAACATATTTGGACATGTTCCACTTTCTGCTTTCCTAAGTTGCACATGATATAAATAATGTATTGCCGAACAGTAGATGAAGTTGTATGTGTTCATATTATCCTGTTTGCAGTAAATGAGTGTAAATAATCTGGAGCAGCAGATTTACATCAAGTTTTGTAAAAGTGCGAGTGAAATGTTAAAGAAAAAAGTTGGCAACCAAAAGCAGAAAGAAAAGCTCCAAATGTGGACAAAGTACAAATATTGGTGCCCTCATATGGAAGCTTAAATGTGTGACTGATAGGCAAACAGTGCAGCAGATTCTAACAGAGAAATTGGGAATGAGAAAAATTATGTTACTATGAGTTCTTGAATTCCTGGTGAAGAAATCCATTGAAAAATTTGGCCATCTACCAATAAACTTAGGTCACTGCCATTTTTACTATAAAGACAAAGATTTGTTGACATTCCTGATGTCTAGCAACAAATGACTACATAACTGAAATGTATTGTAGTAAACAAGTTCCAATTTTTTTTATTAATTCATCACCCAATAGAAGGCACAAGAGCCAATCAAGGTAGAGAGTTTCTGAATGATTATCTTGTATGAGTGTAAGAGGAGGAGGAAAGATAATAGTTAACTAGATTTGAAAAGGTTAAGTTTGTTGTTGTTGATTTTGTTTACTGGCATGTCAACCTCTGTGGATTATTTAATGCTGAAATCTAAATATTTTGAATGCAATTGTATGCCTTCAGTTATAGATAAAATGTATTTTTAGTCATTTTGCTATAAAAATATTTGCTGGTCATTTTGCTGTAAATAGGTAATGTTAGTAATTTTACTATAAAAATGTACTGCTGGTATTTTTAATATAAAAATGTATTTTTATACTTTTATAGCATTTTGTTTTTGTTTGGGGGTTCACTATTTACCCATAGCTGGGACCCTAACAGGTGCTACCGCTTCAGGTCAGGATGGACCTGAAAACAACAGTGATGAAGAAGTGCTTCTATGTTTCTCAAATCCTCCAATCTTCTGATCAGAAGCAGGATATAGTTTATCATCATACTCAGGACTAGGTTAAGATTGTAGCATTTGGGAATGCATCGTTTTTGGGAGTCCACAAAGTAGCGGTACTTGCAAGGAACTTGTCTGAATGTAACTTCCTTCTTAGTAATGGAATATGATGAGAATGGGAGTTATTTAACCCAGAGTACATAGTATCATAGGATTTAGCTGTAAAGGTCTAAATTGGTGAAGCTAATGAAAGTAGCTTTTTGAAAATTTACCTGGAAATAACGATAATGTATGAAGAGGTTTTCAATGTTTCATCTGTGAGAAAAGGATTGCAGTGTGGAAAATAATTCATCACCTACATCGCCATGTAGACTAATTGTAACTCTATTAAGACTGGAAAGTGAAGACCGGGCAGCTCCAGCCCAGATATGGCAGCAGTATTCCATTTTTGGTTTGATCTGGGTCTTGTAAAGATTGCATGTTTCCTACAATTGTATCTTTATTTCACAATGTGAGGATCTTCACATGGAGAGTGTTCCAAATGTGACAGTAGCCTATAAGGACAAGATATATATAACAGAAGCACCTTTTTTATATAATTATCAAATACCCAATAATCTTTAAAATTTTGGAAAATATTCTCTGTCATCTAATGTTTAATTGAATTTTAGATATTCTGGCATTAAATTTACTACAGTTATCTTTCTTATTTTCTAGTAATGTCATGTATGGACATCCTTATTTACAAAAATTGGCACATTTATACAAACAAAAAAATTCAAAATTCTTTTAAAAATATTGGTGGTCAATGAATTCTACTAAGCTTTTCCATTTTTAGTAAATATAGGTTTGACTTACCTCTTTCAGAAAAGGCTCTGCGATGATGAACCAATTCGGCATTGATTTGGCTAGAAGAGATAGAAGGCTAATAGGCTGACAATTTCTGTTTGAACTTTTCAGTAATTAGAT